TTTCACCACTTAGATTGCCACAGTACTCAGTACCCAATCAATAATAATTTTTTTGCGAATCCACATAGGATTGCCGAAACCCTTAAGTAATTCCAACAGTTCTTTTAGATCAACAAAAAAATACCCACAGAAATTTCGCAACGATTAGTTTCAATATATTCACTTATATTCGAATTATTTGCTCACATTCGAATTATGTGCTCATAAATCGAATATACAAACTATAAATAAATAAATAAATAAATAAATAATTTTTTTTTTAAATAAGAATTTATATTCTTAGTGAAAAAGTGATAATATGTATATATAAAAATGTTGCTGACTTCGATTGACACAAGTCAAGTACGGCATAGGTTCAAATGCCTCCGAAAAGTGTTTCTGTGCTTCAAATTTGGAACGATTTGAGCTCAACCCTTGACTCTTATAGTCTGAAACCTAATATTTGGAAAAATAGTTTGCATATAATATTTCAAGCTTATTCAAAAACTCTGCTTTTAAAGAACGATTTTTACTTCAGTCTGAGTACTATAATGGAAACCAATGACACGCTTATAGCGCATATATTCAAATAAGAAAAGCCTATCAGTGCAACCTTGAATCTTCAAATATTGTCCACATTTCTTTTTTTAATCAATTGTAATTTGTTTGTTGCACTTTAATAAGCAAAGCATATTTCAGTATTTATTATATTATAGGAAACAACACTTAAAATAAATAAAATTAGCTGCGCTCCATGTAAAAAAATAGAAGGGAAAAAAATTTATGAAAAAAATTCAGTAGCCCATTGCACCACCACTCAGTCTACATGACAATATGGAAACTATAAAATTTCCAACTACCAAACAGATACAATCTTGTAGATTTTTCTATGTAAATAAATCTTTTTTTTTTTTTCCTTTTCATGGTAATGTTTGTTTATTTATTGTTTGTTATTGTGCCACGTAACAATTGTCAAAGGCAGATCCTTTTGTGAATTTTATAGGTGCCGCCATTGTCATTGGTATTTTATGTGCGTTTTAGGAGTGTGTATGGATGTGATCTAAAGAATGTCCTTGCACTATGCATTTCATGTAAGTGTTATGTGTAGCCTTGAAACGCGTTTTGACACACTCGGACCGTCTTTTACCTTGAAGAACCTTGTACTTGGCACTATTTTTAACGCCGTTCTCATAAGGAGTGCATAAAATATTTCACAACGACTTAAACTAAACAGCATTGCCAGGACTGACCTTGACTGTAGCGGAAATAATTGTTAGAATTTAAAAACAAAATTATTTTTTGTAAGAAAATATATATATTTTGTGTAATAAAAATAATACAAAGTGAAATTGGCGCATTTCCTTTATTGTCACATAAAAAGGAAGCTGGGAGCAAATTTCAGTTCGTTGTCGTTCCCAATTCAAGGTCCTTCTACTAATAGTTGTAATACTGACTGCTATTGTTGAGGGCCTAAAGGCAAGAGTCAATCTTTTGATTATTAATTGTTGCACGTGCAACCGATGTGTGACAATTTATCATAAAGACTATTCACTATAGGCGATGTGAAGGTCGGACTAAGAAGTAAGCTAGGACGCGTGGCAGATTTTAGATAAGCACAATTGCTGTCAGCCTTTGGTATGTAAATGAATCTACACCAAACAACTACTTTAGTTATAAAATTTTTATTTTAAAATTTAAAAAAAAAAATATTAATGTATGTATTAAAATTATATATTGTTATTCGACAATGCAAACTATCGGTTAAGGAATATAAACTATTTAATATAAACGGTTTATACTCTTAGTTTATGGTTATAGACTATAGTTATAAATTTAATTTATTTGTATTTTAATAGAATATAATAAATTATTTTTATTTTTGTTACAAAAGACTTTTTGAGTTAAATATGGGGTGTAGCTAAGATCGCCTCCACTGATATACTAATAACATATATATAATCAATAAAGCGTAAAAAAGTATATTAGTTTATAGTATTCTTTTACACATTATTATATATTATTAAAACTAAAATAAAATTGTTTGAAGTCATCAGTACTTAGCAACTGAACTTCATCCTTCATGTTGAAGTGAACTATCTCGTAAAATTCGTAGAGGGCACATAAATTATATATACTTAGATAATTAATTTATAAATTGTGTGAAAAGTAACTAAACTACATCAATACTAAAAATTTTTTTACAAATGCAAAGCAAATCATTTAATATATTAAAATTAATTTAATGTATTAACTTTATATAACAGAAAATCTTATTTTATTTAAAGCTTGTGAGCAATATTTTTCAGTATGGGACTAAGCAAA